CATATATTCCTGTGGCCCACTTAATCAAGGCATAACTAGGAATTCTGTGCCTTTCCTCTTTTCTCTCTTTCAAATTCCCAAAGAGAAAAAAGAAGTACAAGTTAGGATTACTTGTGATTTATTTGACTTAGAGGTTAAATGACAAACTTTTCTGCTACCACTGATGAAATCAACCAGTTGTGTCATAAAACAAATAGAGAATGGTATGTGAATGTGGAACTATTCTTTTCATATAAAAACTCCTAAGTGATATCAATTGTCAGACATTTAAAAAGACAACTTTCAAGTTATTTTATATAAGTTTCTTTCAGGTTCTCTTGAGATAACTATTAGGAAATTGTCTTTTTCTTTGGTTTTGTTTTAAATGGGTATTGTTAGGTCAAGTTCTATTCCATTGAAATAGTGTTGGTTTTAATCCAAGTCGAACCTTCCAAAGTCCAAGTTCAAATATTTTTGTTGGCATTATTCTGAAATTTCATTAGCTCCATGTAGGAAAACTACATGAATAACTTCAGATATCAAAGTAATGTGTGGAATAGATTTACTATCAGAGTTCATATTAACAGAAAAGACTAAATTGCAAACTATAGTTATTAGAATCTTCAGGCCAATCCAACTCGCTATTGAAGATAATTTGAGAAAAAAAAACATATATAAAAAAGGCAGTGGAACCTACTTTTAGAGGGGCAACATGCTGGCTTCTCCAGTAAAGGTGAGCGAGTAAAAGACTGCAAGGGAAGCAGGCTCTTACATTCCCATTGTTGTTGCCCAGTCATGTCCAACTCGTTGTGACCCAATTAGGGGTTTTTTTGGCAGAGATACTGGAGTGGTTTACCATTTCCTTCTCCAGCTTGTTTTACAGATGAGGAAGCTGAGGCAAACGGAGTAAAGTGACTTGCCCAAGGTTACACAGCTAGTAAATGCCAGAGGCCAGATTTGAACTCAGGAAGATGAGTCTTCCTGACTCCCAAAGCCAGCATTCTATCCACTTGGCCACCTAGCTGCCTACATTCCCATTACAAAAAAAAAAAAAAGAAGTGGAGGGGCATCTAGGTGGTACAGTGGATAGAGGTCTGGCCTTGGAGTCAGAAGTACCTGAGTTCAAATCCAGCCTCAGACACTTAACACTTACTAGCTGTGTGACCCTGGGCAAGTCACTTAACCCTCATCACCTCACCAAACCCCCCCCCAAAAAATGGAACACTTTATAGAAGAAAAATGTCTAGTCCTTCCCCCCACTTCTCTATCAGTTATTAAGGTTTGAAGATAAAGAGAAAAGCAAATATAGTCTCTGCCTACTGGGAGCTTACATTCTAGTGGGAAAGGAAACATGTAAGTAAATAGATACATAAAAGATACAATATAGAGTATATGGAAGGGAACTTAAAGGAGAAATCTTTACCTTTAGTTTGAGGGAATCAGGAAAAGTGTAGCAACTGAGTCTTGAAGGAAGCCCAGGATTATAAGAGGCAGATATGAGCATACAGAGCATTCTAGGCTTGAGAGATGGTCAGTACAAAGACAAGGAGGTGAGAAATACAGGGAGGAGGAATAGCCAGCATAGTTTGACCATGGAGTAGAAGGGAGTAAGGTATAAAAATATGGAAAAGTTAGGAAGGGACTGGGTTATGAAAGGCTTTGAATTCCAAGCAGAAGTTTTTATATTTGATTTTGGAGGTCATATGGAGCTACTGGAGTTTATTGACATGGACAGAGCTGCATGATCACTTTTGCAGCTAAGTCGAAGATGGATAGCGGTGGGGAGAGACTTGAGTCAGGAAGATAAATCAGAAGGCTTATTGCAAAAGTCCAGGCAAGAGGTGGTGGGGGCCGTGATAGGTGATGGCCGTGTGAGTAAAGAGGAGACATATGTGAGAGATGATGTAAAGGTAGAAATGACAAGATTTAGCTACTGTTTGGATATGTAGGATGAGAGTTAAGAGGTGAGGATGAAACTAAGGTTTCAAACCTGGGTAGCTAGAAGGATAATGGTACCTTTGAAAGTAATAAGGAAGTTGGGAAGAGAAGATGGTTTGGGAGGAAAGACAGTGAGTTCTGTTTGGGACTTAATGAGTTTTAGATGATAATAATTTACCAAAAAGAGAAATGATCAAAGTAAAGAACACTGTTACAACTTTTTTTAAATACCGTAGAATAATTCAAATAGCAGAAGTACCTAAAGTATCACAGATGGAAGAAGAAACAGCACACGGTATTCCTAAAAGTTCTCAAATGGACAAATGACATATTTTAAAGAATATAAGCAATACTTAATATCAGTAAGAAAATTACAAGGACAAATAAGTAAAAAGCTTTTGGACATTTAAAAGATCACAAGAGGAATGGAAACTAAAGTTGAAATTAGGAAGAAGATTGGGAAGGAAACAGAAAACCTGAAAAAATCAATAGCAGCAGACAAGCATTGATTATAGTAGAAACCAAAATTGCAGACATTGAAAATGGATGTAGAAAAATTAGCTTAAAAATAATTCAGCTATTGAGAAAAATAAATATCAAAAAGATAGACTAAAATGTAGCTACCTTAGAATTACTGACCCCAACAATTTTATTTTTTAAAGTTTTTAAAATTAGATTTTTAATGAATGAAAATTTGCTTACTCTCCCTCATACCACCCCCCACCTCCCAATCTTGAGAAAGAAAGAAAAAACAAAGCCCTCATTTTTAAAACATGTATAGTCAAATTCCAAATTGGTAATGTCCAAACAAAAGATATCTCAATCTGCATCCTGAGTTCATTCCTGTCTCTCTCAGGAGGTAGTTAGTATATTTCATCACGAGTCTGGTAATTGTACTGATCAGAGTTCTTAAGTCTGTCAGAGTGATTTTCTTTATAATATTGTTATTATATAGATTGTTCTTGGAGTTCTGCTTCATTCTGCATCAGTTAAAGCAAATCTTCCCAGGTTTCTCTGAAACCATCCCCCTTCATCATTTCTTATTGCATAATAATATTCCATCATATTCCTATATCATAGCTTTTTCAACCATTCACCAACTGATGGGCATCCCCTCAGTTTCTAATTTTTTGTGAAAAAGAACTGCTAAAAATATTTTTGTATGTCATTAGAGTTTGTTTTACTTAGGACTAAAACTCTCCTTTAATCTGTCCTTTTTCCTCTCCTTTCCCATCACCCCTTTTCCTCCTGCTTCTGTGTTGATCAAAATTCATTTCTGTATCAAAATGTGTGTGTATATTCTTCCCTTTCTTGACTAGTCCAGATGAAAGTGATATTTAAGTGTCACCACTCCTCCATCCCTCCTCAATGAAGGGCTGGTGGTTGGAACTGAGACCCCTCTCTACTCTTGGGGCCAGAGTGACAATAGCTGCTGCTTGCTTCTGAACTTGCTCCATTCTTAGTATACAGCCTAGGGATATCCACCTCTCCTCACCTGAAATACCACTTTTAGGATCAGTTCTACTTCTTGGTCATCCCTTGATCTATGACCTGGAAGTGGATAGTAAGTGATAAAGCTGCCGGTTGGCACATTTTCTGCACGGTTCAGAAGGTCAGGCTCTACCTCTGCTGTATCTGAGACCCTATGGTCTGTGTCACCCTTCCTGGCTAGACTCCAGTCTCACGGTATTCTAACATTTTTATATAGTATATATAAACATAAGTATAGTATATATGTCTCCCTTTGCCAGCCAGAGCTAGAAGAATTACAGAGTAATATTTTTATAGAATTTCTCAAACAGTACTTAGTGTAATATATTTTCTAAATATGTGTGGAGGAAGATATGGGGTAAGACTTGCTTGTACTTCTTGCTATGCTACCATCTTGTTCCTGCCTCCCAATCCCAGTAATTTTAGAAAATGGAAAAAAAATCTAATTTTGATTCTGGAAAATAACTCAAAAACATTTTCTAGAATTATCAAAAAGAAGCAATAATTCATAAGTAGAAAGCATCTACAGCACCCCAAAAGGGGAAAAAATTGGAAATTCCTCTCCAATACATTTTTTGTTAAACTCCAACATTCCAACAAGGAAGGAATCCTAAAAACATCAAGAAGAGAGACATCTATGGAATAAGAGGCGTCAAACAAGATCACAGTAGTTTTCTCCAAGAAGATCAAGAAGAATTGGAAGATGAAATAAACCTTAATTATAAAAGTAAATTGCTATTTGAAGGCAAGAAATAGATATTTGCAAATCACCTAGACTTTGAAGAGTTTATGTAAAGATGAATATACTTCATAGTAGCCTTTGAAAAGCTGCTGGGCTTTCAAGCCAAAGAAAGTACCTAAAATAGTTCACACTCTTAGACCACATAGTTACTTAGTAACCAAATGCAAAAAACCTTCACAGTTTTATACTGGCTGAATCCCTAAATATTTAAAGCCTCTGAGGCCTTTTAAAGGTATACAGATGAAATCAGAAATGCATTGGTTTTTTAATTTTTGTTAAATTATATCAATATTTTTTCTTTAATCGAAAATAATTTGTTCAGAGTTTAGGGTTTTATGCTGATATACCTTATAGTTCATTTGATTATGTGTTATTTGCTGTATTAAATTTATAATAATGCTAATGAAAATATTGAGTGTCATAACAACAATCAACTTGTCAATGTTTGCTAGTGAGTCAGTTTTTTTAAGAAGTGTAAGCAATGTTTGAAACTAAATAAGAGATAAGGGGGAAAACAATGATTAACAGTAAATATGACTCAGTAGAGTACCAGGAAAAAACTAAAAGGTATGTCTAAAATAAAAGTAGCATTTGATGGGTAGAGTGAAGAAGAGTGGCCTAAATTTGTACACAGTAAGAGGTGCATGTACCATTTTAAACATGTGCATCCTCAAAGACTAAGTCAAGTTTTTCAACCTCTATTTAAAACAATATTGGTTTTAGAATATATGAGGGAAATGTATGAGGGCTTTGTGAATTTAATCAGTAGGATGGAATTTCCCTCTAACCATAATACAACTGTTACTGAGTAGAGAAGTTATAGAGAGTTGTCTGTTGCTTTTCTCCACAGGGAGAAGAAAAAACTCAACTTTCACAGGATCCACAATCCCTGCCCTCAAAGGACCTTATATCTAGTAGTGGAAACAAGGTATGTACACAAATTGACAAATTTTTAATTAGAATCTGTGTACCAAAGATAGATTGAGTGGGAAGACAACTTCAGCACCTTAAAGACCATCTAGTCCAATCCACTCATTTGTTTTTGTTCAGTTGTTTCAGTCTTGTCTGACTCTGCTACCCTGTTTGGAGTTTTGTTGGCAAAAATACCGGAGTGCTTTTGCCATTTCTGTCTCCAGTTCATTTTACAAATGAGTAAACTGAGGCAAACCAGGGTTAAGTGACTTGCCCAGGGTCACACAGCTAGTATCTGAGGCCAGATTTGAATTCATGAAGATAAGTCTTCCTGATTCTAGGCCTGGCACTCTATCCACTACACCACCTAGCTTCCCTCAAATAAGAAAACTGAGAGCCACAGACATTAATCTCTCAAGTTCCAGCATATCATACTGACTTCCAGAAAGAAGAATGCTTTAGTTTGAGTGTAGAGAACATTAAAGTCAGGAATATGAGGCAAAGCTGGGAAGGTAGGCTCTTACAGGTTGTAGAAGACTTTGACTACAAGGCAAAGGAAGCCACTGAAAAATTTTGAGTGGAGAAGATTCCTGACCACATGTATGCATTAAAAAGACTGCTCTTGGGGCAGCTAAGTGGCACAGTGGATAGAGCACTGGCCCTGGAGTCAGGAGGACCTGAGTTCAAATCCAGCCTCAGACGCTTGACGCTTACTAGCTGTGTGACCCTGGGCAAGTCACTTAATTTCACTGCCTAGCAAAACCAAAACAAAACAAAAAGTCTAAATTATATTGCATTCAGAAAATAACTCATTTCAATTTAGGAATTCATTTTAACTGAATTCAACAAACACTTCTACATCATCTACCAAAATTTGGTGAGAATTATGTCCTGAATTGCAATTCCTCTCATGGCTTCCTCTGTCTTCTGAAAGGTGAAATCATCAGAAAGGTCAAGTGTCAGTCTTCATTGTATCATCCTTTTTAAGAACAAAAATGGCAATCTTTAGAAAAATATACCCTTAAAATAAAACTATTACTTATAGCACCAAACATAGTAGAGGTATAAGGTACAGAAGATTATTATTATTATATTATTATAGTATTTTTTAGATTTCATAATGGTTCTGTGTATTAGTTCTTATGTTGCTATAACAAAATCTTACTACAAAACAAAGTCAAATTGTGTACTTTACCACATATTATAAGTTCACTTATCAATAGACTTCATGCCAGATTATAAGAGCATGAGTAATATGTCATCTTTTGTTTCATCCAAACACTAGATGGGTACTTCAGTATGTTGTTTTTCATCTTAATAGTATTTGGGGGAAGGGGAGACTATATTCTTAAGTTTTAACATTAGCATGAGCCTAAATTTAGGTAAACATTTATTGAGTACCCACCTAATGACAGAGGTAAACCTGTTACTGTGTCTTACAGTGTCTACTTACTTGCATTTTTCTATAAAGGAGGCTTGGTGGTCACATGAAGAAATACTGAACCACCACTATGATCCATCTTATGACTTCCAGAGTACCCAAAGAAGTGATTTCAGAATACCAGCATGTCAGTTGGTTTTGCCAACCAAATACTGCAGGAGACAAAAGGCTGCTTGTGGCATAGGTAAGAAAAACAGTGGTAAAATATTATTTTTTGTTATCTGAAGTATGTTCTTATCAAATAGTCTAGAATGTAGTAAATGTGTTGGTACTTCATCTAAATATATCTTCTCAATTTAAAAAATGACATTTAGGATTGAAGCAGTGTGTCCTTATTCCATTCTTAGGGGTAATTGGTCTTCATACCAACAGTCTTACTAAACATACCATGATGAAAGGGAATACTGATCATAAAATATATGATATGTTATATTACATCCAAATATAAATTTTTTTCCCAGTTTACAGAATCACTGAATTTCTGAGTTGGAAGAGAACTCAGAGGTATTCTAGCGTAAGACTAAGAATAGCTAACATTTATATAATGTTTTAAGGCTTGCAGAGTGCTTTTTCAGATCTCTTATTTGATCCTCACAACAATCCTGGAGTGGTATCATTATTTTCATTTTATAAATGAGAAAGCTGAGGCAGATCGAAGTTAATGACTCACTCATGGTCACCCATCTAATAAATATATGAGGCTGGATTTGAATTCAGGTCCTCTTATCTCCAGGTCTAGCACTGTATCTATTGTACCACCTAGCTGCTTCTAACCCATAATTGAACAAGAATTCAACTTGGCTAAAATGTTATAGTTGGTTCAGGAACAAAAGGAACAATATACCGTGTGTGTGTGTGTATGTGTATAAGTATACATATATGCATGTATGCATATGTATATATGTATATATATATATATATATATATATATATTTGTGTGTATATCCATTGCTACACAATCAAAAACATATTTTAAACCTACAAAGATGAAAAAGTAATAAAAAAGAGGATGGGAAAAGAAGTTGGTGATTCTAAGCAAAACTATTATTAGCAAAAGGTTTTTGGTAAAAACAAGTTTAGTTTGGTTTACTTCAGTTAGATTTAATTATAAAAATAAGTATAGTAAAGTAAGATCACATTCCCTTCCAAAAAGAAAAATCAATACATTCTACAAATTTGCTGATAACACTGTATCATTATGGTGAAATATGAGTTTAGAACCAGTCTCACAGCTTAGAACATAGTCAATTCTAGTCAAGTAAAAGAGTTACAAAAATAGAAGAAAGAAATTATGCATCTATCTTCCTTGCTTTAGGGGAGACATATTCTTATTTAATGAATAAGTGGGAGAAATTATTGAGACAAGGTAGATTATTTGATTTACATATAGCAAAATATATGCGGAGGACATTGTACCCTACCATTTATAATGGTAAATTTGAATGAACTGAACTTTTATATAAAATAGTTATGAAATGGGTTTTTTTAAAGAGAATTCAGCACAACTAATACAAAAATATCTGTAAATTTAATGGAAAAGGGTTGACTAAAATATAACCTATATCAATTAGCTCAAAATGGTGATGATACCAAATAAAGTTTCATTTATACTGAAAACCATTTAGAGAAATAGATGAAAACATTATCTCATGATAAAATTATAAGTAACAAGAATTTAACAATATAAAGAATAGATCTATCAAACAGTTTGCTTCACTAAGTCAGGGATTTCTGAGGTCTTTGGGATGGATGTTCCCTCCACACATATCAAAACACCTCTGTAACTTAATAGACAGTCTTCAAGAGTTGCTGTAGCTAAAAGATTTATTACACTGAGGCCATCCTAGTGATGAATCTCTCTAGATTTAGCTCAGTAGGATATAGGTATATTAAGTCACTGGACACTATAAAAAGTCAGAAGTTCTAGAGCTTGGAATGAGCTCAGACTAATGAGGAAAGCCCAAGAAAAATGAGTGGTGGATTTTTCTCCCTTTTGCCTCAATATACGGGGAGAAAGGACAATTAACGAAAGCAGAGATCTCAAGCACACAGCTTACAGTATTCCCAAATGGGGCAGGAACCAGATTAGAATATAATTGGAAAATATTTAACAAAAGAAGAATATAATAAAACACAGATAATGGTTTTCAGTCATTTAAGTCATGTATGTCCCCATTTGAGGTTTTCTTGGGAAAGACTTTGGAGTGGTTTGCCATTTACTTCTCCAGCTCATTTTACAGATGAGGAAACTGAGGCAAAATGGGCCAAGTGACTTGCTCAGAGTAGCACAGCTAGTAAAGTGTCTGAGGAAGATTTGAACTCAGAAAGGTGTGTCTTCATGACTCCAGGCGCAGTACTCTATCTACTGCACCACCTACTTACCCCATAGATAATGTTCCTGTGTGGTTTTCTGCGTCACTATGTGGCCTGCAGGGATCCTTATGTATGGTTTAGTTAAAGCCTATAGTTGGAACATTTGTTTATGCTACATCTCTCTTCATTTCTAGAAGAAATGTTAAAATCTAGGTAAACTATAGCTACAGAATTCCTTTAATCTGGCAGTTCAAATTCTGCCAAAAAAGAAAATGAATTAGTCTGATATGACTTGTTCTTGATAAAGCCTTGTTTATTCTTTGTAATAACCATTTCCCTTTCTAAAATTTCACTATCTCTTTAATCATCCATTCTAGAATTTTTCCAGAAAATAAAAGTCAAGCATATTGGCTGATTATATTCACATACTTTTAAAAAAATCAACACATTTGAAGAAATAAAAGAAATTATTAGACTGTTTTGTCCAGCTATATGCTAATAAGACTGACAACTTAAATAAAATGTATGAATATTTACAAAAATGAAAAATACTCAGATTAACAGAATGAGACATGGATAATTTAAACCAATCTCAGAAAAAGAAATTGGACAAGCTATAGATAAACTCCAAATGTTAAATAAAGCCTAGGGCCAGATGGATTTATAAGAGATGTAGCATAAACAGATGTTCCAACTGGAGGCTTTAACTGTTGATTCAGAAAGGATTCATTAATGATTCAGTTTTAACTTAACAAGGTCTCTAATGAAGTGCCCCAAGGATCTTTGCTTGCCTCTACTGTTTAACGGTTTTATCAGTGACCTGGGTAAAGGTATATTTGCCATTCCTATCACATTTGCAGATTAACCCAAGGCTGAGAGGGATAACTAACTCACTGAATGATAGTGACAATTCAAAAAGATTGTAGACAGACAAAACAATGGGCCAAGTCTAATAAAATCAAATTAATAGTGCTAAGTGTAAAGCCTTATATTTTAAAATTAACTTCACAAGTCCAAGAAGGGGGAGTTGTGGCTAGGCAACGCTTTGAATGAGGTCTTATGGTTGACTACAAGCTGAGTATCAGTCAACAGTGCAATATGGCAGCCAGAGAATCTAATGTAATATTATATTGCGTTAAGAGGAGCATGGTGTCCAGGAATAAGGTAATAGTTCCACTGTACTTTGCCCTGGTCAGACCACATTGAGAGTATTGTGTTCAGTGTAGGGTACCACATTTTAGAAATGATGTTGTTAAGCTAACAGCACGCAAAGAGCTATGGACTCATGCTATATGGGAATCAGTTGAAAAAAACTTAAGATGGTTAGCTTGGAGAAGAAAATACATAGGGAAGATTGGGTATTTGAAGGTTTGTTAAATTGAAAAAAAGATTTGACTTGTTTTGCTTAACCATAAAGGTCAAAACTAAAAGAAATGAGTGGAGTTCACAAAGTGGCAAGTTTCAGCTTGGTTTAAGGAAAAACTTCCTAACAATTAGAGTTATCCAATGGTAGCTTGAGCTTTGGGAGAGGTAGTGTCTTTCTCTTATTGGAAGTCTAGAAATAAAAGCAGAAAGACAGCTTGTGTGTATGTTGTAAATAAGGTATGGGCTTTACTAGATAGCTTCTGAGCTCACTCTAAATTTGCGCAGTCCTGTGTTTATTCTTGCACTTGGAGCCTTGAATTACCATATAATGTAAGAGTAAAATTCATTTTTAAGAAGTTAACAGCATTGCAAAAAATTGATAAAAACAGAATCCAAGCAAAAAAAAAAGTGGGAAAAAAAAGTTTAATGAACCAGTTGGATTTAATAGTTTTCTGAAGAGAATTAAATTGAAATATTAGTGAAACATTTTTCCAAGTATATATATATCTCCAATAAAGATGATTATGTATTTGGACACAAAAAAACCTTGGTAAATCATAAAAGACAAATTTTATATTTATATATTATATTTTTTCATTTATCCAGTATTTATTAATTACCTACAATAAAACTGGAAATGAATAATAAAATCTAACTAAAAGGTACAAGACTAGAACTTAATGGTGTAGTAGTATTATGGTATGGTTAACAGGATTATTCAACCATTCCTTTTTAACCTTCCCTCACCTACTACTACTCACTCATTATTAGATGGACTTCCTGATAGAATACTCCTCTGCTCTAGAAAATTGTATCAAAGGATTTGTCATTCTTCCTATAATTTTTAGCATTAAGCACCAAGCCATAGATAGCATTTCCAGCAAAAAAAAAAGTTAGATCTCTATCTCTGTCTCTCTCTCCCTATCTCCCTCCCTCCCTCCGTCACCCCCCCCAACATGCTTCTCCCTCAATTGCATCTTCCCATCTGTATTCCCAGTGAGCACATTGAGAATAGAAAATTGTGGCAGTTAATATTGTTTATAAAGACAAAGTAAACATCTAAAACAAAGAAAGGCAAACAAACTTCTCCTGTGCTCAAGAAAATGTTTTAGGCTCCCATGAAAAGGAGCTCAAGGGGAGAAGGTAGAGGCAGGATTATTACCTTGAAGTCTGTCAGAGAAGGGAAGGGGGAGAGTTAGCATTCAGCAAAACAACATCTATCCTGGCACTTCTCATTACTAGTTGGCTGAGATAGCTAGCCTGCTCCTGGAGGCATCACCTTGATCCCTATAGTGATTACCTCTGCCCAAGTTTCTGCTGTTCTAGCTCCATGAAATTTCTCAAGTTCTCCCTTTCTCTAGCTTCCCGCTTCACTTCAGGAGATGGGTACCTCTTTTTGTCTAACACTTAGACATTTTTAAGGGTGAAGGAGGGAGACTGTCAGTTGTTCATCCTGTGGTATTTCTTCCTTTCTAATTCACCTGGGAGACCTGTTCACACCCAGTA